GGATTCTTCCTGGTTGAACCTTTCCATCTCCCCCACTATTATTATTATTATTACACTACCATACTCTAATCTGTGGTCGCTATTGTTCTCTTTTATTCATCTCTCTTATCGCATCTTACATTCTTTTTCTCTTCCCATTCTGATTGTTTTGTGTGGCGTATATTTATTTGGTGCCCGTTGTATCAATATATATGTGTTCAAGTAAATAAACTGCTAGCCACCATCCATTTCTTCTATAAAACCTGTAGCACAATCGTTTCATCGAGACAGTCAGCAGAGACTATATACTCGTGGCCATGTGAGAGCATTTCGAGAGGTAGAGCGGACTCTCTCCACTTTCGGCCGTATCAGGGCATTTGGGGTCCTGTCAACTGTGATATCAGTTGTTAATTGTAAAAAATTATATTTGAAATAACCTCAGCCGTTGAAATTCAAATGATTCCAACGTTTCACTTGCAAACTGGTCCGAACTTTTTCAGGGCGATTATCAAAATCAATGATTATCAAAGAGGATATAAAGTTTAGTAATAAAGATCTCACTAATGGTGCTTGTCTAACCATTTTTTGTTTTGTGTATAGATAGTTAGATCGTGCGACAACTTTGTGTGAAATGGTTCATCATGTGAAGATCCATAAGCGTGTGTGTATGTGTATCAATATATCGTTGTCATTAAAAATAGTACAAACGTGAAAACTCCGTCTACGACCAAATTAATCGTTTTAGTTTTATACATATGAGTAAAATAATCTAGTTATGTGATTAAATGCAACATTAAATGAAATGTAATCGGAAATAAATCCACGTTGATTAAATAAGCGTTAATTTTGTTAAGAATACGCTTTGTTATGGTTTAGACTGGATGGATATTCAGATCCATGCATTTAATTGTTGATTAACAGTTATCATAGTGTAATGCCGCCTGTAGCAATTCTAGGGTTACTGCAGGTCCCGAGCCTGGGCAAAGGAGGAGGGTTGCGAATGCGGTCAGCAACCCCATCCCGTAGAAAACATCCTCACTAAAAAGACAATCAGGAAAAACAAACTAGCATATTTAAGCTCTGACCTCTGAGTTGAAAGAAGAATCATGGTAAGAGCCGAGATTCTTCGGAGGTCACGGGGCCAACACCACTTCTAGCAACAACAGCAACAATTTTCATAAGTACAAAGAATGTTCGGACAATATGGGAAACAGGGAGGACTAATCGAATAGCCACAGAACTGAGGAGACACAACTTGGTGGTTCTCGGATTCGGTGAAACCCATTGGACCCAATCTGGACAACAAAGTTTAGATTCGGGAGAGATGCTGTGGCACCCTGGTCACGAAGAAGAAAATGCTCTGCGCACTCGGGGAGTTTCTCTGATGCCATCTGAAGTGGCACGTAATGCACTTATGGCATGGGAATCTCATGAACCCAGGCTCTTCAAAACAAGGAGAAAAGGAATCACAACGAATGTTAAACCGTGTTATGCACCCACCAATGGTAGCAACGACGACGATAAAGATCAATTTTACAAGAGGCTGCAACCGATCATAGAGAAGTGCACAAAAAGGAACCTGATCATCCTGATGAGAGGCCTAAACACCGAAGTTGCAATAGACAACACCGGGTATGAAGATATCATGAGACGACATAGACTGGGAGAATGAAACGAGAATGGGGAGAGATTTGCAAATTTATATGCATTCAACAAAATGGTTATAGGTGGCACAATATTCCCTCACAAACGCATACACAATGCTACATGGGTCCCACCGGGTCACACTACAGAGAATCAGATCGATCATATTTGCATCACTAAAAAATCCATAAGGATAATCAAAGGCGTGAGAACCAGGTGAGTAGCTGACATAGCCTCAGATCACTACCTGGTGGTTGCCAAGATGAAATTGAAGCTAAACAAGCACGAGACAACTGGGGAGACATTGCAAAGGTTTAATGCAGCCTTCCTTCGAGATACTGGCATACTCAATGAACTGAATACAACTCTCAAAAACAGGTTCCAAGCTTTACAAGATCCACTCAAAGAAGAGGAAACTACTATGAAGGACAGTTGGAAAGGGATCAGAGAAGCACTAACTTCAACGTGTCAGGAGGTTCCGGATCGCAAGATGCATCGTCGTAAGGAATGGATCTCTATAGAAACCCTGGTCAAGATTCAAGAAAGAAGGGACATGAAGACAACAGTTAAAGACAGATGAACAAAAGCAAAGAACGTTAAAACAAGCTGAATACACTGAGGCAAACAAGCAAATGATGAAGAGTGTTGGAGCTGACAAGTAGAAATACTTGAAAGAGCTAGAAACAACATCGGAAAAAGCTGCAAGGGAAGGAAATATGGAACAACTAAATGACACAACGAAGAACCTAGCAGAGAAATATAGTAAAGCAGAGAGACCGGTCAAGGACAGAGGAGGCAAGCCAATCACTGAAGTTCAAGAACAGAGGAACAGATGGGTAGAACACATTGAAAACTCGGGTGGGTCAGCCCCACTGTACCCACCGGACATCGAAGCAGCACCTGCAGGCCTTCCTATAGCTCTCACTCCACCAACGATCGAAGAAATCAGGATGTCCATCAAACAAATCAAGACTATGAAAGCGGAAGGACCTGACAATATCCCAGTCGATGCACTAAAGTCAGACATAGAAGTAACTTCAAAGGTGCTCCATGTTATATTCAGGAAGATTTGGAAGGAAATACAAGTGCTGACGGACTGGAAAGAAGGACACCTCATCAAGATACCAAATAAAGCAGATCTGAGCAAGTGTGAGAACCACAGAGGCACCACACTACTGTCAGTACCGGAAAAAGTTCTCAACAAGGCGTTACTGAACCAGATGAAAGATTTAGTAGACGCTCAACTTCGAGACCGACATGCCGAATTCCGTGAGGATAGGTGGTGCAAAGATCAAATCGTGACACTACGGACCATCGTTGAACAATCAAGTGAATGGAACTCGTCACCGTACATCAACTTCCTGGACTATGAGAAAACATTTGACAGTGTGGATAGGAGGACTTTATGGAAACTTCTTCGACACTATGGTGTATCTGAAAAATCGTCAACATCATCCGGAATTCATACGATGGACTATATTGAGAAGTCGTGCATGGAGGACAGATGACAGACTCATTCCAAATGAGGACCGGAGTCAGACAAGGCTGATTACTCGTTCTCTTTTTTCTAGTGGTTGACTAAATTATGATGACGTCCACATCTGAGGGGAAGCACGGAATACAATAAACAACGTGAATGCGACTAGACGATTTGGGCTTTGCAGACAACCTAATCCTTTCATCCCATACACAAGAGCAAATGCAAGTGAAGACAGCCAGTGTGGCGGCAGCCTCTACATCAGTAGGCCTTAACACACACAAGGGAAAAAGCAAGATCCCCAAATACAACATGGAGAACACCGATCCGATCACACTCGATGGAGAAGCTCTGGAAGAGGTACCTGGATATCATCATTGATGAACAAGGGTGATCTGATGCAGGCGTAAAGACAAGGATTGGCAAATCAAGAGCATCATTCCCACAGTTGAAGAACATATGGAACTCAAAACAACTTTCAACCAATATTGAAGTCAGAATCTTCAATACGAACGTCATGACAGCTCTACTGTACAGAGCTGAAACATAGAGAACTGCTACAACCATCATCAAGAAGGTACAAGTATTTGTAAACAGTTGTCTACGCAAGGTACTCAATGTTCGTTGGCCGGATACCGTCATCAATAGCCTACTGTGTAACAGAACAAGTCAGCTTCCAGCTGAGGACGAAATTAGGAAAAGACGTTGGAAGTGGATGGGACGCACATCAAACTGCGTCACGAGGCAAGCACTAACTTGGAATCCTGAAGAAAAAAGGAAAGGAGGAAAACCAACGAACACACCGCATCGAGAATTAGTAGCAAACATCAAAAGTACGAATCGCAACTGGATGTATATAAATTATCAAGTTATTTAATTTTAAGCTTGCATTAATTTTTTCATCATAAGCGCTCATAGCAGATCCATGGAGTATGATTGTGAACTAGCTGATACCGAATGCTGCTAGGAGCGTGTGTGCGTTTATCACTTACGGGTTACCCACACCGTGGAAGGATATTTTTTCATGTACTTGTTGATCTGGATGGTGGTCGCATTGCCCAAGAGATAACTTCTTGAAGGAGTTCCCATGGCTTTTTTGTGATTACTTTTAGCTGTACTAATTGGCCACCAGCAACTGAAATCCGTGTGGTAAGGTGAGAACTCGAAATTTTGGTTGTTTGAGGAAAGCATCTTGCCGTCGCCACATTCCTGTACAGTTGCTAGATTGACTCCACCCTCGGACCATAGTTTGCTACTTTTAGTCTTACCGAGCACTTCAATCTGGCTGTTTGGTATAATAATACGATATTAATGCCTTGACTGTCATGTCAAGATAGCAGCTGCAATTAAGGGAGTTGTGGTTTAGTAATCAAATAATTTAACTTCTGAGTTGCTTCACTCATTCAAACTTCTACAACCAAATATTACTCATATTGATGTGAACGAGAACTCGGTGGGGATAATCAATTTATTATTTACTGCAAAATTACCGTGTTTTCGTAAAATATGGAAATCATAAATTAACTACATTATTTGCACAACTTTCAGTTATCCTTTACATGCTTCATAATTCTGTTGTTATTACGGTCTCTCTGTTTACATTACTGTTCCCTTCAATTCAATCTTCTGCTGCAAGGCATCCCACTTCTAATTGGTGATACATACTACTTATATCTGTCGACAAAAGTAGCATACATTACAATTCTACCTTCCCTCTTAAATTTATATAAAATTTTTGGCTAGAAACCTGAGTAAATGAACATTCTATTTTGTCAGTGAATCACATTAGATTTCAAAAAGTTCAGGTATGCTTAAATCTTATACTTTTCCCCCTCTTTATTTGAAATTCTATATTTGTTTATTGTTATATTTTTTCATTTGATTTTTCTTTATTTTTTAGACACATTAAACGAAGAACAATTACGATTATCCGTATTAACTGCTGTGGTTGATCAAGTTCGTCGTGTACAAAAAGAATTAATCTATCAACATCAAGACGATTTACAAGCAATACGTCAAACTCAAACTGGCCTATTTAGTGGTGGTCAAAAAATTCAAGAAATGATTAATAAGATGCAACAAGAAAAAGTAAATCAGTGAATAATTTTAAATAATGAAAGTAACTCAAATAAACGAACAGATGTATTCAGCATTGAGAATCCGGCATATAACCACCTATATTAGCACAGTGAAGTGAAATAAGACAAAATACTAGAATTGTAATAGAAGTAGTAGTAGTAGTATCAATTGTAATACGAAAGATTAGGTATAGACGATCTGGATACATACTGCCGAGGAGTCCCATACCAGGACGAAAGGACTGTTCAGTGATTCCTGGTTTTCAATTGTTTCCTAACTAACATCGACTCGTTCAGGAACTCATTGATAAACAATGTGATTCGAGAGGAATAACTCAATTCGTAAATGAAAAAGTAAACAGTAATTTTAAAACAAAATCTAAAGGAAGATAAAAAGTGAATCCATTCTCAATATTACGACCGATTCAAAGTCATGTCATTCAATATCTCTTACAATGAGTTATGATAATCGCTTGGGCCTGCAACCAGATTGCCCGAGCCTATCAATTCTTCTCAGTTTAGTTGTCATTAACCTTATTTTGTTGAAAGAGTAATAACAATTTAGTGAAAAGATGTTTCTTTTCAACGATATCATCCATTAAAGCCGTATAATCGTATTTATAGGGATATAACAGATAGATAAGTCGATAGAAGAATAAAATGAAATTACATCAAAAATACTCTCCTATTTCAAGTCTCAAAAAGGTTGCGTAACGATCTAGGAGTAAGATAAAGATAATATACAGGTTAAAAGTAAAGGAGATCACTGTCTATTTGACATGTGCAAAGAAAATAAAGCATGAAGGATGATGCAATAACAATGAATTAATAACTTATAAAAAGATTATGAGCGAGCAGTTACTGCTGATTGCTAATTTTTGAAAGATAGACTAGAAGGTATGTTAGGGAATTATAGGACAATGATTAATTAGATATGTCGCAATACGATTGTACAGCTTCAATAAATGATATCAGCGAATAGTTGAGTGGATAACACAATAGCGTTTGAAACGAATGTAAATGTTTTGAGGTCCCGGAGCGAACGTCAACTCTAGGATGCAGGTACGTTCAGCTGACGAGTTCTAATTAGGATGGAACGCGCGTCCTGAATTCCACTGCTAGCCACCATCCATCTTCGCTTATAATACTTGTGACTTAGTGGCAGTATCGAAACAGTGCATAGGATGTATATATATATAAAGAGATTGATCAATTGCAGTCTTAGAAATATTTAAACAACCAATACACATTAAGTAATGTTTTATTTGAATGAAGTTTCTATTCTTCTCTTCGTGCATTGATCAGAATCAAACACGTAAATCATTAGATGGCAGTTCAATGTGCTCTAAAGTTTAAGCGCTCGTCGCTTGTTCTGAAGATCTTGGATTCAATCTTCTATCGAGTAGGTCGCGGATGCACAGTCCTGAAAAGTCCTAGGCCGGGACGAAGTGGCTGTCCAGTACTTCTTGTTTTTAAAATGGTTGTTTAACTATGGTCAGTGCATGCTGTCAGACATAAAATTCCCTTGATTTCTACCGATCAAAACTTTATGCATTCGTTTTGAAATTCCTCAAACCATACACCAAATCATAATTCACAACACCTTTGTTGTTATATTTGTGCGAATCACGATAATGAAATTAAGGAACACAGGTCTATGGTGCATTTCGCACAAGAAACATTTTTAACAAATCCAATCATATATTTTCATTCGTCTTATATTAAACTGAAAGAAGGCTAATTAGCTAGTGATAATTGTATGGAAATATAAGAAAAAGAGCAACATGTAACAAGATGAATAGTCATAAATTTCTCATTGTAAAATTAGAACAATTTCGATATAATAGACAAAGAACTAAGTTTAACAGTTGAGTCTTAATTAATTGGAGGGTAAGTGATCTACAATCAGTTATGGATTTTAGTCACGTTTATTTTTCTAGTAATAATTCGTGTATAGGTATGATAGTTCTATTCGATAAAAAAACGCCTACTATATCTATTAGTGGTCTTGTTTCTTCCATAAACTCATTTGGTGTTTCAAGTCAATCATCCAATCTTGTGAGCAGCCATCATCTCGGACACGTATCATTACATATCATGTATTGATTAGTATTTTATCTATTCATTTTAACAATTAATTACCTCGTTCATTCATCAGAAATTCATAATCCGTAACAAATTTTATTTTGAACTTATAAAAGAAACTTGAGTTTTGAATATTTGGGACTTCATACAAACCTAAAAATTTATTTATTTATTTGAACACATAAATATTGGTACAAGGGGGCACCAAATATATATGCGCCACACAAAACAATGATAATTTGAAGAGAAGGAGAAAAAAAAGTAATGAACGTGGGGAATTATAAAAAAAAAGAGAAAAATAATGGGGGAAACGGAAAGGTACAATCAGAAGAAATCTTTCAGTTAAGGAAGAGGCAACCACTTTTCTATGAAGAATGTAAAGGAAGGTTACAGCACGATTACCATCGGCTTCTATTTTGAGCCATTTCTGATAACGTCTCTAGCCACTATGTTGCACCATCTCTCGGACTCCAGACAGGGAGTGGTGAAGGACCAACACAAGCCAGCGCTTTGCAGCTTTCTTTCATATCACGACACCATGTCATATACTGACGACCTCTCCGCTTTTTCCAACCAGTCCCAGGGTCGGCAAATAATGCACGACGTGGAATTCTCTGGGACGACGTTCGTAGAACATGTCCAAGCCACCGAAGTCGATGTTTCAAGATGGTGACACCAATTGCATTATCGTCTCTGTGCCCGAACACACGATGCCAAACCTCTGCATTACTAACATGGTGTTGCCACTAAATGTCAGCAATCCTTCGGAGACAACGATGATCAAACACAGAGAGTCGTCTAACATCCTCAACTCGGAGAGGCCAGGTTTCACAAGCATAGAGCAAAACTGCTCTCACCGACGTGTTGTAGATCCGACCTTTTACAGCCAGACTAACATCACGAAGGCGCCAAAGATTGCCCAGATTGGCATAAGCCGCTCTGGCTTTCACTATACGTGCATTGATCTCATCACTCATGCCAACACCAGCACTTATGCAGCTACCTAGATACACGAACTTCTCGACTACTTCTATCTGCTCACCATCCAGAGTGAGTACAGGATTAGAATCCTGCCAATCTTGTAGAAGTACTTTGCACTTCGAAGGTGCAAAGCACATACCGTACCTACGGACACTGATTGCCAACTGATTAAGTGCAGATTGCATAGCTTGGGCATTCTCTCACAGTAAGACAATGTCATCCGCATACTCAAGGTCGAGAAGTCTTTCTCCAGGCAACAGATCCACACCACCATTACTTACATCCATCAGAGCTGTTTCCAGAATGTCATCGATGGTAAAGTTGAAGAGAAATTGTGAGATTGGGCAACCCTATCTAACCCCACTGCTTGAATGGAACAATGGAGAGAGGTGGTTGTATGCCCTCACTCTGCCTGAGGTGTTTGTGTATAATGCTTTCAGGATGTTAATAAACTTCTCAAGCACACCCTTCTTCAATAGACATTCCCAGAGAACAGTTCTGTCCAACGAATCGAAGGCAGCCCTGATATCAAGAAACACTACGATTGTTGACCTTTGATAAGCATGACGGTGTTCTAACACTTGGCGGAGGGTGAAAATATGATCAATACATCCTCGATCGAAACGAAACCCAGCCTGCTCCTCGCGAGTCAATCTTTCTCGGGTTTTGAACAACCTACGAAGTATGACGGAAGCGAAAAGCTTGGACGCGATCGGAAGTAGACTTATCCCCCGATAGTTGTTACAGGAACGACGTGAACCCTTTTTAAAGATAGGGACAACTATCGACTCATTCCATGACTTTGGTACACTCTCTAGTTCCCAGACAACGTCGTCAGTCCCTTAGTCAGGAAGTCACCACCATCTTTAAAAAGAGCCGGAGGTAAGTCGTCTGGGCCCGGTGATTTGTAACGTTTCAAGAGTTGGAGTTCCTTGCAGACTTCCGCCTCATTTGGTGGATCAGTCGTCACCGGCCATAGAGGGAAGGACAGTCTGACCGATGTTGCCGGAGCAGCAGGCCAGTTGAACTGCCCTTCGTAAAATTCTGCCCATCGTCCAAGACGTCGATGGATGTTAGTGATTGGCGTTCCGTCATCCTCGCAGATTGTTTCGCTCACACCAGACTTCTTGCTGCCAGTGCCTCGGATGAGTTGGAAGAACTTCCGGTAATTACCAGATGCAGCTGCTGCTACCAACTCATTAGTACGCTTCGACCACCAGGTTTCTCGGTCCTTACGCAAACTTTGCTCAATTTCATTACGTGACATCGTTAGTTTGTGGTCAAACTCACGGTCACCCGGAGTAGACCGACGGGCTTCAATGACTTGTAAGGAACCAGAAGAAACCCAGTGCTTGTAAGCGGGACGTTTCGCGAAGCCGCAACCAGTTTATCCAATAATCATAGTCATTTCATTTTAATTGTGTGAGGGCTATGATACTCCCCGGATGCCCAGACCGAAGCAGGTGGTTTTCTTAGGGGGCCACACCCCCAGCCTTTGACCTAAAGGTCTGGCCCACAAGTCAGTGGAACAAAGTGAGATGCAGTCCCGTGGTAGTCAGTGACCAACAATTGGTTCATACGCCATTCGTTCCTTCAGGATACTGGAGCCCATGTGCACCATTGATTTGGGATCCGGTTATAGCGCGGGACATTTATTTTGAAATTATAAAAGAAACTTGAGTTTTGAATATCTGGGACTTCATACAAACCTAAAAATACACTTCTGAAAGTGTTTATACGAAAATGATGACTAACTGAGAAGTGAGTGAAATATGCAGTCTTTACAGATCATAATAAGGGTCTCAAAGAAGACATAATTCATAAACCTTGAATTTAACGATAGTGGTTATACTACACTTAAAAACCATCGTCTTATATGCCTTCAGAATGAAGGATAAATTGTCACAACTGATCATTGTAGTGTGTATATACAAGTGTCACATGCTCTTGTGCAGCTTAGGTATACAGGTCATTAGTTCAGATCTGTTTGATGTATCACAGAATACAGCATGACAACACAGCTTATTTGCGTTCTCTTATCTACAACATATATAGTTGGCATAGGACATTCAGTTTGTAATTCTTTTTTTTTTGACATCGCATTTTCAAAGGATCCAGTTAAACTCCCAAAACTTATTCTCCATTTTTCTCATTTATATTCTTTCTTATTTTTCCAATTGTACAAATTATCAGGATCGAGTTTGTACAGAAATGGAATCAGTCAAGAGAAAAATTAAAGATTTAGAAGTGACTTCAGAGAAACTGCGCAAATCTGACTCAAATTTCATAATTGATGAAGTATTCGATACAACTGCTCCATTATATCGTCAATTAGTTGTTTCATTCGCTGAAGAACAAGCTATAGAAGATGCAATTTATTATTTGGGCGAAGCAGTGGGTAAAAATGTGTTCGATGTGGAAGTTTATTTAAAAGTAAGTTATCAGCAGTTTTTTTAGAAATGGTATTCTTCAGCTTGCTTCACCCGTTGTTGCCCAGGCAAGGTGTCCGTCTCCCAACCAAAGGATGAGTTCATTGCTCAGCAATTCGCCCCATCCTACTTTATAGGTGTGAAACATGGCCATTAAGAATAGAGGATATTCGTAGGTCACTAGTATTTGATCATAGACATCTTCGAAGCATTTATTGTGTATTTTGGAGTCATGGAGTAAGCAACGCCTCGGTTAGGAACAAAGTACTAAGTAAGGATGACAAATCCATTGATGGGGTAGTAATTATCTATCAACTGAGGTGGTTGGGACATGTGTTACATATACCCAACCATCGCCTACTTTGACGGGCGATGTTGTCTGATGTAGAGGTAGGCTGAAAGGAAGAAGAACATGGCAGCAGTCCACAACTGGAATGAGCTATGTTAATAGGTGTGAACCACTCGATTGGTATCCGCGTGATTATCGTAACGAATGGTTAGAGACTTTGAATGACAATTTCATCTCTTTGTGTTAACAGGTTACCAACTTGAACCGATGTGTACATACGCACTAGGTTCTATGTTGTGACTGTCTGACATAACACTCAGTCACATATTCTGAGATAATGGATAAATAAATCACAATTTATCTTCTCAATATGCTGATAAAATATAAGATCCAGTAAAAAAATGATTGTCTTACTCATGATGGAACGTAGGTTATTTTACCAAGTGCCCCAAATGCCCTGGTATGGCCGAGAGTGGGGTGGGTTCGCCCTCCCTCTCGAAATACTCTCACATGGCCACGCGTATACAGCCTCTGCCAGGGAAGTCCTACTCACTGCCTTCTCGTGGCGAGGGTGTTGTTTACGAAAATGAGAGGACGAAAAGCGAATTCCCGGCGCATTAACCGGATTCCAAATCAATGGTGCACATGGGCTCCAGTATCCTGAAGGAACGAATGGCGTATGAACCAATTTCATGGTCACCGGCTTCCATGGGACTACATCTCCTTACGATGCTCCACTGCCTTGTGGACTAGACCTTTAGGTCAAAGGCTCGGGATGTGGCCCCCTAAGAAAACCACCTGCTTCGGTCTGGGCAACCGTGGAGTTTAATAGCCCTTACACATATCAAATGAGATCTGTGTGGCGCATATGTATTTGGTGCTTCCTTGTACCAATATCTATGTTAAAATAAATAAATATTTTACCAAGTAGGTATTTTTGTACCCGTCTGTTAGTAGCCACACAGGCATGGGAGCCAGTGAAATACTATCAAGCTCCTTAAACTGTAATATATATATATATATATATATATATATATATATATATATATATATATATATATATATATATATATATAACCGTCAAGCCACCTCTTTGTTCAATGCTATATTTTTGGAGACAGTGGGAAATTTTTAGCACAAATTATAAGTTATTACAATAATGCTCTCTTGCGTTACTGTTACGGCCTTGATCTGTCTACCCACTTTTGGTGCTGAGGATACTTTCTAATCTAGATTTAGACCTTGACGCGATAGGCTGACCGGCTTAACCTTGAAGCTAGTACGCGTGAGTTCAAAGTGGGGTAGAGAGACGAGAAATATTTTGTCACCTGATTGGCTGACAAGTACGCAAGTGAGAGAAGATAAGACAACTGGAACACTACTCGATCTGTTCCCGACTTCCTGATTTCATATTAGTGTAAAATGGTACATGAATAACCCGACCGCAACGTACAATAATTAGGAAAAATACAATTATGTCCGAAGCTGGGAATTAGAGTAGAAAATAGGGTGCAAAATATTATGTTTAAATTACAACAGCTTTGGAACAGAAAAGGGTATGGCAACGAATCATACATCGAACGAAAGCTTATGTTACTGGGTTCGAGTCCTGGGGTGGATACCAACTCTCGAATACAGACTTATCCAGCTGGCGAGTTTGGAACGGGGCGAAACTCACTTCCTGGGTTCCACTGCTAGCCATACTCTATTCATACATATTCTCAATCTTTAGCCTTCCACATTACCATTTCTCACTACATTATTTCCATTTCTTTTGCTGTTCATCTTGTTAATTTGATCTCATCGTGCTAATCTGGTATGGCAACTCGAGCTAACCTACATTTGTGGAAAGCTCTTCGTAAATTGTGACTGTCCACTTTTTTTATCACTTTAGTCTATCAATCAAGCTTCCTTTATTATTATTATTGGTTGTAGTAGCAATAGTCCGTAAGCAAATAACCGATATCACTGGTATCATACCATAATCCATAGTATTGATCAACCTTTACCGATCATTATAAGCGAAAATGGATAGTGGCTAGCAGTGGAATCCAGGACGTGTGTTTCGTCCCATTTGGGACTCGAACCCAGTACCGTTCGCTTCGAATATCCCAGAGTGAACATCAACTCAGATACAGGTACATTCAGCTGATGAGTCCCAAACAGGACGAAACGCACCTCCTGGATTCCTCTGCTAGCCGCTATCCATTTTTGCTTATAAAGCTTGTGAATTAAGGCAATACACGCAGAATGCATATATACCAATAAGAAACTGATCAATTGTAGTCCTAAACATCGATGAGAAGATTAAAGTAAACAATACCAAGTGACTTGGTCGATCATGTTTATAGTTTATTTAGTCATTCATGTTGTCATTATCTTCACATTAGTTGTTGACTTCAATATCATTAGCTTACAACATCATTTTTATGCATACGCGCGATTGTTAGTATGCCACAAAAAAAATTATTGTAATGCGCCAAATTAACATTTCTTTATATAATACTGTTCTATATTCAAACACCTTTCAGTTAAATTGAGTCGTACAAATGATTACGTTGTATTTGCTGAGAATTATAAGGAAGATAAAATATCAACTTTTGCGACTGCTAAATGACATTAGTTTCCTGATTAACGTTACGTTCAGTACAGATAATGCCATACAGGTATTAATTAATCGTTTCAATTATTGTCATCAAAGCTAATATGCACTAACAAACTTATTAACTACATTTTTTTACGATTATGAACTACTGGTAAGTCCTTCTCAATGAATCGGAGAGTAGATGTGATGTTAAATAATCTTGTTTCAGATTATAATATATGTATCAACTGCGAGAAACTGATTGTTTATTTAAATACATAAACATCGGTACAATGAGGCACCAAATATATATACACCACACTTCGTCATTCGATTTGTGTGAGGGCTGTAACTATCTGCGCGCCCAAACTGAAGCAGGTGATTTCCTTAGGGGGCCACACCAAGAAACTTCGACCTGGAGGTCTGGTCAACAAGGCAGTAGAGCAACGTCACCAGATGCAGTCCGATGACCAACAGTCGGTTCATACACCATTTGTTCTCTAAGAATCCTGGAGCCCATGTGCACCGTTGGTATTTGGGAGCAATGATTACCAAGTAATTCTTGACACGAATACAGTAGATTCATTTGGGCTTCACCTTATATATGGATAACGTTTTGGCACTAGTGTGGTAATTACTACTCTGTCTCAGTACAGGTATATCTTTTAGTGTTCAAACAAGTGTATGAACGTGTAACCAATGCATCTGTAGTTCGCTTTCTGTTGGTTTTCCTCGTGTTATAGTGTGGTCAACACCAAGACAACTATGACATTAGCGCCATTTTAGTTTGATAGGTATTCTTCCAGCCTGCATGCTTTCAATGGTTGAATCAACTCAATGACCAATAGTCATGTCATCGTTAAAGAAATTTAGATCTGATTCGCTCAAAATGAAATTCTTCTATACAATCTAAAAGGCCATGGGTTCGATTCTCGAACCCGGGGTCGTGGAATACTTTACATTCTCGATTCATTTAAGTTCATAATTAACTGTCATTTAGGTAATTGAACTGCTTTTGTAATGCAATATTTCTTTCGCTACATGTCAAAATATTCATATATAATTTTAAACTTGACAGTCAGCATAACACTACAACTTATAAAGAAAAAGGGAATGACGAGAAATGGAAGAAATCCCCTCCAATCGATACATATTGTTTAGGTATCAGTATATATATATATATATATATATATATATATATATATATATATATATATATATATATATAATGCACACAAATTGTTGAATCAATATCTTTTTGTATAGTGGATGGGGCTATGGAGATCTATAAGTTTTATAGTCTTACATCATGAACTAATTTTCGTTTGAGAAATTCCACTGTTTCAGCCGATCATTGTATAAGTTCTCATTATTATTATTACTATTATTGTTATTGTTGTCAGTAGTTTTAGTATTATACAAAACACACGTAATCTCCATTACTTTAAAGCGTATATTTATATATCTGTAGGCAATGTGATCCAAGCTTTTTTCAATCGTTGTAAGCTTTACAAATATAATTTTAATATCAGAAGGGGTTTTGTGGATATTATGGTAATTTTAGTAGTTAAGATTATGAGTCAATTGAAGCTAGACCACCGTGGAAAACCTGGAAGCACTGGACGGCCGTTTCGTCCTATTGCTGAGGAGTTCCACAGTAGGACGAAACGGCCATCCAGTGCTTCCAGGTTTTCCATGGCGATCTAGCTTCAATTAACTCATGATCTCAATTGTTAAAATATAATTTTCTGAATGTTATGAATTAACTTGGCTCCCAACTATTATGAAACTATTTTAATTATAACAGTGACTATTATTGTTTCACTTGGCTTTCTGTTTACTAAGAATTAAGCAACTGAACACGCTATTAGGTCATCATTTGGTATTTGAAATGTAAAGACTACATTAATTTTACTACTGTATTGTCATTGTACATGCAATCTATATTCAACATCTTGATTTTAAACTACTTTCATATACTGCTTATTTCTTGTATTTCAGAAAGTACGCGAATTGTCTCGTCGACAGTTCATGTTGCGAGCTACTGTTCAAAAATGTCGTCAGAAGGCAGGTCTACCACTTCTGTAATAATCACATTCATTTTTATATTGTTTACTGATTATATCAAATATTCCTGTTGTGATAAATCTGGCATGCATATATATATCGTTACATCACCCATATTCTCTTTTGCCACACAACGGAAAACTACAAACAATAACTAACCATATGGATAAGTGAATTCATACATAGATCTTTTCAGATTCTTTTAAATAAAAATATTCAATCAAATCCTTCGTAGCTTCATTTCCTCCTACTTCCTGTCGTTACTGTTGTTGTCATCGTCGTTGTTTTCACTGTTATTGGTGTTTACTTCATTCTCTTTACATACATGCGCGTGCGCTCTTGTGCACATCCATGTGCGTGTATGTATATACATGGGCGATTATATTCCACAATTTATTTTATTCAGACAAGTAACTTCTCTTTGTTATCCTTAACTATCTTTCACACTATTTCTCTCCAATGTTCTTCTGATTCTCCTTCTACTACTCTACTCGTTGACTTTATTCACGTTTGTCCCGTTCTAATGAAAAGTAATCTAGATTATTATTCAATAATTTCACGCTTGGAACCAAACCACGACATTAGCTGCAGTAAATTATACATATTATGTGACTTTGGTTTGTTTTAAACTGGACGAAAATTGGATTGTACAAACGTACACATTCATTGTTATACATTATTAGATATACTTGAAAAAAGTGTACATTTTTAACTTCCGGGTAAATAATGGATTACAATTTTATTTGTTTTCTAGTGTTTTTTATTTGCGAAAGGAAATAAATTTTGCATCATATTTTCTTTACTAGAATAACTTTATTCAGGGAATTGTTTTTTTTAAGATATCTCATGTACTTTGATCTGATCAGTTAATCTATAGAGAATTCATTGTCTCTTTTGACAGCATTATTAGGATATACTTTAAATTCAAAGTGGGCTGTTAGAATTTCCTCATCATTGTTTGGTTAACCCGGGACTTTCTTAGTTGTTGTTTATGTGGTTGTTGTTTGGATTTCTATTTTGCTTATTTCCACTACTGACGTTATCTCCAAAACTGAAGTTTATTTTTTTATTATTATAGGTTAACGAAACAAACTGTTAGTGAACTGTGCAGGAATTCTAAAAACTCACTTTTATGAGAATATGCTTATGTTCTTACCTAGGAAGACTACAATAATTATTCAGAATAATCGTAAATTTGTGTATAATACCACTTAGCTTAGTCATATGTTCTTGAATAGTTTATGGCAACTGAATCCATAACACGTGCATCATACTATTCAAGATCGGTCAGCTACATCCCCATTGCTGATGTTTTCATTGAGACTTGAACTCACTATCTATCATATTGTAGGTATCAATGAATTATTCACTTTTCTGTTAAGTTACAATACTAATGAAACGCGTTTTTACGCTTCTACTCCAAATTGTTACTTAAAAAAGATATAACAAACCTGTCATTGTATGTAGTTTTGAGACATACACTCAAGAAGTTCACTATGTCGGCATAAAATGATCAAATTTAGTTGCAAATGTCAACCCTGTGAAATTACGGAATCTTTAAGGAAAATAATGAATCCTAAAGTACATTTGATGTTTCTAATTATTATTTCACTGAATCGCTGAACAATTATTTAAATTTCTGTTCAGTAATTTGTTTTGAAAATAACTATTTATTCTCTTCCTTCATTCCACTCAGTGATTCACACTAAAATATCATCCACATTTGTTACAAGGGGATTTTATTATTTGTAATGTGAAATTTTTAGGGATTGTTTAACGAATGGATATCCCTTTAGTAACGAATATCATCTTGATGTTGTGGTCACGCTTGCTTAATATGATGACCTATTGGAGTTACATTTGTTGGAAAACTGGATTTTCTGGGTCACCACGCCAGGCAGGTAGATTGAAGAGCTATAGAACATAACAACCGACGCTACACTAAAAACAAAAAAAATCATCGTTTTGAGAGCTAAGTTATAATCCTGACTATGCAAAGTTGCAGCTAACCAATCAATATCTACAGAAGGAACGAATTGAGCTAATTATCAAATGTCCAAATGGGAATTTTCACTACAATCAATATCTAGTTCGAAACTGCCTTCTCACAACGGAAAGAGTGAATTAGGAAAGTTCAGGGACATTACACTTTGAATTCACGTGGTGTTGTTTTACTTGTATCTTCCCATTGTTATTTAGAACTGCAATTTATCAGTCTCATGTTGGCATATGTGCATCCTGTGCGGATCGCCTCGATATAGTCAAAAGTCACAACATTACACTTTGCCCTGTAGATCCCTTTTATCAAGGGTAAGGTCGCAAAAGTATGGACCTGATACAGTTACTCCGCTTGTGATTGATCTGGAGCAGTTGTCTTTTAATGACTATGTATATACTTCCAGTCTAATTTCCACGTCCTCCTATAAGAAGTATCCTCCCACTGTGTTAGCAACCTACAAGTGACAATCACTCCCATACCTTTGATAGAACCCGAGATCACCTTCATCACTAATAAATACAATACTTATTGGTGAATAAAATGCAATTATATGCCGCGCCTGAGTAATGGATGCTCACCAGACTAAATTATTGAACCAGACTCTCTGATGAACTGATACCAAAAATAAAATCACTCACCGAATGAGTAGGATTTTTACTTAATAAAATGATATGCTAATACATAAATTATTCACAGAAAAATAAACATGGTTAAATATCATAGGTGACTGAAAATTGTCTATATTGCAGATCACTCAATTTCTAATAAATTAAGACTTTACCTTTAGGTTTGATGCTTCGTCGTTGTATCAATGTAAAACAAATAATCACTGTTGAAGTCTAGTAGGCAATCACTTGAGATTCTATCTCATTTAACCTGTCTGTTATCACTAAGTGTGAATGAGTTTAACTTATAGTTTTAAGTAAGATGATATGACATAATAGGTCATTTATCATCAATTCCTGAATGTACGACGCCCTATAAATTGGCTTTGTCATAGTTATTCTTTTAGTGATCAAAAGTTTGCATTAATTTTCTTGAATCTTGCTCAAGAAATTAAAGCTTGCTATAGGATTAATCTAACTGTATTACGTGATTTAATCAAATAAATTGTCAGCTGAAAGAAATATTTTTATGATCGATCAATTGTTAGAAATAAGATTAAATCGATTTGTATTGAATATGTTATGACTCTATCACGTTTGTATATTTAATTTAAGCAAACATATCTTTTAGATGTAGATATTAATAGCAAAATGAAATTGAGTTTCGAAAGGTTTATCGATAAAATGAGAATATTTGTATTCAATATTAGATTTTATTTACTGTACTCTAGTTGTAAGCATATTAATGAGCGTTATACATTGATGATCTTCACCTTTTCACTAACTAATTTCTTTTTTTTCTGAATATTCTTAGAATATACTGACATTGTCGTGTCGAATAAAGACACTACATAACATTTGGTACCTGAAAGATATCTAACTGTTCATCAAAGGCTGCACATAATTCATAGATATCTAGTGTTTGATATTCCTTAACAGAGATGCTTTTAGATTGGATGTGTTTGACCACAGACTTCTCGTCATTCTTCATGTATAATGGAAGTACCACGTATATAATTTATAACAAATTCAAAGTTATATACACATGAGTTGGCTGTATACTCAGTTTAAAGCCGAGTCTTTGGTGTGAGAGCTAGTGGTACTACTCGATTGTCTTAATACGTAGCAGCAGTCTCTGCATCAGTAGGCCTCAACATACACAAAGGGAAAACCAAGGTCCTCAAACACAACAGGGAGAACAGCAATCCAGTCACTCTAGATGGCGAAACTCTGGAAGATGTAGAATCCTTCACATACCTGGGAAGCATCGTCGATAAACAAGGAGGTTCAGATGCAGACGTCAAGGCGAGGATCGGCAAAGCTAGAGCGGCATTCCTTCAACTGAAGAACATATGGAACTCAAAACAACTTTCAACCAATATCAAAGTCAGAATTTTCAATACCAACGTCAAGGCAGTTCTGCTGTATGGAGCTGAAACTTGGAGAACTACAACAACCACCATCAAGAAGGTACAGGTATTTATCAATAGCTGTCTACGCATGATACTCAACATCCATTGGCCGGATAACATCAGCAACAGCCTTTTGTGGGAGAGAACCAACCAGCTTCCAGCTGAAGAGGAAATTAGGAAAAGACGATTGAAATGGATAGGACATACATTGAGGAAATCATCAAACTGCATTACGAGACAAGCGCTAACTTGGAATGCTGAAGGGAAGCGGAAAAGAGGAAGGCCAAAGAACACATTACGTCGGGAAATAGAAGCAGATATGAAAAGGATGAATGAGAACTGGAAAGAGCTTGAAAGGATTGCCCAGGACAGGGTTGGATGGAGAATGCTGGTGAGCGGCCTATGCTCCTTCACGAGGAGTAACAGGCGTAAGTAAGTAAGTAAGAGGTTCAACCTACGACCCAGTAGTTGAAATCCAAGTGTTGTAACCAACAGTCTGTCCCTTCACCCAACACTGTATGCTTAACACAATTTTAGTTCAAGGTTACTGGACATTATGCCACTTGGTAATATGCTATTAAATGGTTACGGATAGTTGGTAAAAACAGTTTGTAGTTATCGTCACTATTTATTTTTAATTCCATTGACTTAGAATCACTGTAATATGATCCTTCGCCGTTCAGTTTTAATTACTCTCAACCGTTAAACAATTTATAAATGCACTTTCTTTCGTTTAAAGTTCTCTTCAGTGTTAATGAGTGACTGGAGTAATCACTGAACTGTAATTACACCCGTGACTTTTGTTGTTAAAGTCAAATAACGAGTGCCTATAAATAAGTTTGACTTTCAAGAATCATTATTATTGTTGAACTCATACAACTTCTCAAGCTGTTTTTGTTGTGTTATTTGTTGTTCAGACAGTCCTGTACTGTTGCAGATGAAGCTTTTATCAATATAGTTGATGTTGGTCGGCTGAAATGTCCGAGAGTATTATTCAGTCAGAAG